TAATTTTGGTCAATGTATTTAATTGTAAAATAAAACTTTTTAAGAAATTTTAGAGAAATGCCATATTTTTATTTTTTCGTATCATATTTTTGCATATTTGTACAAAGAACGGTAACTCTTAACTGGGTAAAAATTCAGAAAAAGAAAATTTCTTTAACTAGTATAGCTATTTCAAGAATTTATTTTAGTCCGAAAAATAAATAAAAAACTAAAAAAAAAACCAGAAAAGCATTCTGGAGTAATAATCATTATTAAAGCATCATTTTTCATCATAGTGTTTTAAATATTGATTTTTGTCAGAGGGTTTCAAAAACGTTATGTTGATGTCCGCTGCATAAAAACAAAAAGTAAGAGAATGTGATGACGGACGGCTTTATCCCGATAAGTATTTGAGAGGCAAAAACTTTATAAATTGTTTGTATTTATTAAGAAAAGGAGCATTCATTGATCAGGTGTACGATTTTAAAGCCGTATGTTTTTCCTTCTGAAACAAGAAACTGCGTCCTTATGTAAGTCAGGATTTCCTCTATATTTAAAAAAATCAAATTTGCAAATATAAGTAATAAACAAGATTATTCAGTAACATGGCATTATGAATAGCAAAGTCTTGGCATATTTTCCATGATGGGACCCGGAATATGCCAGCAGAGCAATTGCTATTAATAACGCCATGTTCACTGAAAACGTTGTTTATTTCTAAATCTTCCAAAGTAATTTTTTTAAAGATAAATATTCATTGCTACAAGTATCTCTTAAATTTATAAAGTAAAGTTATTTCAATCTGAAGATGGATACATTACATCAAGAAAGCGCTATTAAAATGGGATATAAAAACTGCCATTTTGTTCTTTTCTTGTTAATTTTTTAAGCCCTTATTTTCATTAAAGAGCCTTAAGTTGACAGCATAAATGTTGTGCCTTGTTATATGTAAAATGTTCAATCTGTATTCAATATTGTCTTTTTAAAAGTTCAGTTTTTTTAATGATTCTGTTCTCATCGTAATCAAATTTACTATTGTGTAGTATTACTGTTGTTCATTTCTTTTATCCACTATTTTTCTTAATTAATAAAAATTCAATTACTTTCTTATGAATTAGTTACAAAAATTCTAAAGAAGAAAATTAGAACAATATAATGATTGCCTTATCACCCGTGCTCCCTCACCTTATCATCCTCGCATTCTTCCTTCACTGGCCATAGGGTAAATCAAGTGTGCTAGTGGGCAGTGCAATAGTCTTTATTTCCCCCGCTTTCCGAAAGGAACATTAAGTATCATTCGTGTGTGGTCTGTCTTCTTTTTTTCTTCCGTCACAAAAACTTGTTACATGAATGACAATTTCAAACCTTCAGAGAAGCCTTACAGGTGTGCAGCTTCACTCCCTTTCAACTGCAAGTTTCTTATTGTACTCGTACAAACAATATAACCATCGGAAATTGTGCAGTGATCTGACGTCAGCAGAAAAATCTTGGATACAAATAAAAGGACCCTTGTTATAAAGTTGACTGTAAATATTGAAGATACATTTTAAGGATACAAACTTTTTTTCTTTGTTTATATAGAATACAAGATATTGAGTTGTTTCTTGGTAACTTTTCTGAATAACTTACGGAAATGGTCGGTTTTTCATTTTTTTTTTTTAATATATATAGCTTCATAAAAACCAATGTCCTAATTCAACCATACTTTCTAAGTTTCTGGAACTTGTGTCTAATCCCTTTGATATATTGTCAATAAAATATGTTTAAAATAAAAAAAATAACATTTCTATATCTAAAAAGATCGAAACGTGCAATCTTGTATGATAAAAAACCCGCGGATGCTAACATTTTACGTTAGTGAATGGATTTGTTTTTTCTATTAATAAAATATTATAAATAATGGCCAAAAGATAAACTAATGACAAAGAGTTTATAACATTTTTCATAACAGATTAGGAATATATAGTGATAAAAAAATTAATGAGGTGGGAAATATTCATAGTCTTATTCCCATTCATGATAAAAAAAACACGACTTAAGGGGTGAATTTGACATTAATTAACGCTGTTGGCAAAGTGAAGTTATGAAGTGGTGCTTAGGATGCAAATCTACACGTGATTCAATTTCAAGTGTTTCAAGTAAGGATATTTAATTTGATAATCAGGAATATGTTTTCACCTTGATCAGTCTAGTTAAAATAATTTTCGCATTCACTACCCCTTCTTAGAAGGGGTAGTGAATGCGAAAATTAGAATCTTTTGTGATAAAGGGATTGGGACACTTTTAATTTTAATTTGATTTTCAGTAACTTGTCCTTGAGATTCTATATATACAGACTAAAAACCTAGATTTTTTTCACTCATCTCTTAATCATAAGCATCTTTTAAAATTGTTTGTCGAAGTTCAGATTTCGTAATAAAGTACTGTACAGACTCGGAACCTAGATTCTGTCACTCATCTCTGAATCATAAGCATCTTTCGATATTAATTGTCGAAGTACTTAACTGTATTAACCGGTCATCGGCACTCAATTATTAATGTTTCTCGTAAACAAATAAAAGCCAAGGTTTTACCTTTGGCTTATAAAATATTGCATTCATTTATCAGTATATACAGATCTCTATTAGAGCTTATAAATCTTGTGACTAACTATGAATTAAAAAAATGTATGTGAACATTCATAAAAGAAAATTTATTTATACTATGCAAAAAATTGTGATTCCTTTTTTGATACGCTTATGATTCATATTTGAAATTTTTTTTATCAAAGTGCAATTTGAGACTGAAAAATGTTGCACAAAATTGCAAAATTATAGCAAAATTATAGCAAAGAAATCACAAATTATCAAATGAGTAAAAGTTTTTGAAATTTGTGCATAAATATCAAATTTTTGAAATGAATATCATCTTTTCGAAAACAAATCTCTTTTGTTCATGAATTACAAAATCACAAATATGGATAACAATTATTATATATAAATAAATCAGATTGTTTCAGAAATAAAAAGAAAACAAAATTTTAAAAACGAATAAACGTATGTATAGCAAATCTGAAATATATGTATTACTCAGCTTTTGTGTAATTTTGCAAATTTTACACGCCATAGTAAGTCAGACAGAAAACAAGTTTAAAAGAGTCCAACCGTTTAATTGGATACTTTGAAGTGCAAAAAGTAACATGGGGGTGGGTTAAGTAACGGTTGGCAACATTACTTGTACAACTGTGTAACACATATGACGAAGTTCTACATTTTCACTTCAAGCCATACATATTTTAATCACAAATACTCTCCTCAGAACAAAGAACTGATTCATATACCGTACACATTCCGCTTTTGTTCGTTTAATTGAACTTCTGGACAACAGGGTGTGCTCTGCATCGGGCGGAAGGGCCCCACTTCCTCAGAGAGTCAATGATAAAGTGCTGAAAATAATAAATGATATATATAATATATAATGTACTTAATGTTATATGTAGACATCAGAATGAACTAAAAATTATTTATAGTCATAATTTTCAAATTCCTTCAAAATCAACGAGAGAATTTTTGTAATATATATATATTAAAACTGAAAGTACATCAAATACCTTAAAACATATTCTATTAAGTTTGAGTGCCGTATCGGGTTGTGCATAAAAAATATATATGCATTGAAACTTCAATTAAAATTGAATTTGGAGTACGCAAATGTAAATCACAATTTGAATAACATACTTTTTGGTATGTTTTAATGACTTCCAACTGAATACTAGTAATATGAAATTTTACGTAATTATTATATCTACATAAGGTTTTGTAGATGAAGTATAAGGAGATAACATGTAACGAACAGTATATAATAATTACGTAAAATAAAAAAAAGTTTTATGTTCCTATCCCCTGTGGTTTCAATTGTCATTTTCTAGAACATGGACAGATGTGTTAAATCGTCGCACATTTGACCCGAATTGATCGCCGTTTGACACTGCAAGCGGCGAGCAAACAGGAATTACATAACTTACTCAATATCAATAAGCTATTGTATGTTGAGGCTATGTAGAAAGAGAATTCAGTGAATTGATAAACATAATTTAAACTTGCTTTTGTCGTACGATTGTTCAGTCCAGGAATGTTTTTATTTTACTGTTTATCTGCAGATGTGTAAAATTCTACGTCATAATTTGACACAGAGTCAGTGATTTTTAATTTAGTAATCTATATTATTTCCCTCCTAACACCCAAATTAAGAAAACAGAAATTATTTCTAAAGGTGAATTCATGTTTTTTTCATATTTAGCGCCATGTAACATTTTAAATGTTAACTAAGAATAAAAAAAAAAGTAATTCAGTAAATATTTGGATATTGTATCTGACTTTAGACGATAAGAACAAACTAACAACTAATTTGTATGATAAACGCACGGGCACCTGACGTTACTTATTTTTCTTTGATAAAATAATATATCCCCCCTTATTACAGGTGTATTAGGTAGGGGGTATATTTTTTTATTAAAAGAAAAATAAGTAACGTCAGGTGCCTTTGGACAAGCAATATGAGGCTTTTCCATTGTCAACTTTTTATTTTGAAATATTTTTCCACTGCCATCTGAATATATAATGTTAACATCTCCCAACTAACTCGAGGATAAAGAACATATCCTGAGTTCGATTATTAAACCAAGACAGGCTACTGATAGACAAGTTAAAGTAAAAGGAATTACAAAAACCTCAATTAAAGTCAGTATTTCATAAACTCTACTGTCGCTATAATAATCTTGTCCGCAAATACCTATAGCATTTGTTGGTATTTTGACTGTCGAGTTCCATGCAAGTTGTTAGACCTTCGTTTTTATACTAAAATTCTGTCTACCTGATTTATACACAGGGCTCACAAGGGAGGGAACCAGTTTAGAGGGGTATACTTACTTCTTCATTCACCTGATCCCACCTAGCTCTTGAATGGGGGTCCGCGTTTTATAGCATCATAATAATTGCTCTATTGTCCATTGCTCTATTTATTTAGACATCTGTTTCAGCGGTGAGTGTAAAGCTACATGCACACGGCACGGACACTTTCATTCGAATTCATTTAATAACAATACTTATAATAATGACAAACAGCCAGGGATTACGTTGATATCGAGCTACGTTTTAGAAGTATGTATATTCTTTGTTAATAATGTTAATTATAAATTAAGGCAACAGTTATTTTTGTATTTCATACTGAATTTTTGTCATACTCAATGAAAAGAAAGAAATGTACATGTTATCAGATAAATTTACTTACGCAAAGTTTTATTTGGAATCTGTCGATGGCAGTCTTAAAGCTATACATGTAAGTGGTTTCTGCCCTAAATAACTTCAGCATCAGACCTTATATAGAAAAAAGACACTTTAAACTATATAATTGCTCTCGATCAAACGAAGTCTCACTTGCAATACAATGTGCACTAAGATAATGATGATCTCAATCAATGAAGACATTGATTTAAGATATGTCTTAATTAGTCTAACAACGAGAGAAACTAGTACTTAATGTGTACTATAAAAGAATTATATATTTTGTGGCCTTTATCTACAATGTGAAATGCTTATAATTCAAAACTAAGTATATGTAACGTCCTACACACTCACATTTAAGTATATCTTTAATTTATAATTTAATTCAAAAAGTAAATTTGCTTGAAAATTAAATTTTTTCATGCAACAATTTTCATTATATGCCTCTCAATGTGCTTCAATTTTTGCAAAGCTCACATTTAATTTCATATCATGTTAATAACCATTGGTATCTAAAAATGCTTTTTCGGGATAAAAATTTCTACTTTTAATTAGACCTTTCTGAGAAGTTCAAAGAACCTTGAAGAGAGAGGCATATAATGAAAATTGGTGCAAAAAGATTTAATTTTCAAGCCTGGTGACAACATTACATCATGGAGGACTGAAAATTAAAGGGCCTGGTGAACAAGCTGAGTAGCAATTTGGAAGGCTCAGAAAAGACTTACCGGTACACAACGTACATGTACTCGGCACCTAAGCCTTTGAGCACTGAAGGGTCTTTTTTTTTGTGCTAACACCCACTGCGCGACTGGGACCTCGATTTATACGGTCTCATCCGAAGGAAAGCAGTTTACACGTTCCGCAATGGGATTTGAAACCGAGGGATCAACTCCTGAAATACTCTGCAAATTGCTCATTCAAGAGCAAAAGCTTCCAATCTTCACGCTTACAAACCAAATAAAATACCACTGTTTACTTCATTTTCCAATCACTCATTATAATCTGATAAATGTCTTATAATGTATATACCATGTCTTACTTGGAGCAGATTTTCCAGACTTGAAATCGATTCTTTCTTTGAAGCTTAGGGTGATCTTCCATAATGGGATGTCCCAAAAGGGCCATTGTCGTACTGTTGTCCTTTCTGGGTTTCCTGATTCTCTTTGGCTTCAGAACGGTGATCACCATAGTAATGGTCTACGTCATCAAAGACAATGACAATGATAGGATTGGTCTGTTTAAGGAGGTGAGTTTTTAAAATAAGATTTCCAATTTACCTTCTTAACGGTGAGAGAGTGTTTTCTTCTAGCTCATGTATCTTTTCTTGTTGGACTATGATGTCTCGCGTGAATCATCATGCTGAAAGGACAAAATACATACTTACAGGTGTTTCCCTTTCTTTTTTTTTTTTATTTCAAAGGTCATTTCAAAACTTATAATATATTTTAGTGCACCATAAATGGTACAGCGTATGACCTTCAGTTAGACTGGAGTGTGGCCACTTCTCAGTACTTTAACACGGCCTATTTTGTGGGTTACGTTATCACTCAACTGCCAGGGGGATTTCTGGCTGTCCGATTCTCCCCAACAAAGTAAGTCGGCTTCAGTTTTCATCCAAGATTTTGTTTGTATAAATGTCTTACTCATAAACAAAAAAATAGGGTTAATTTTTCAAAAAACAATTTGGAACTTGAAATATTGATCCAAAGTATCACTATGTTACAGAAATATTATGATGCTATTGCCTTCATTAATTGATTCATTCAGTCAAAGAAAGACTAAGTGAACAATATATCATGGTTCCAGTTGAAAAGGAATTCTTGATTGTAACTAACGACCATTATATCAACTGCATTTTAGAACTTAAAAATACTGTTCGTTATCTCCATTTGTTTCACCCTGAATAAAGGACAGTAGCAATTTGGACGATAACTGCAATGATGACAGAAATGTTAAACTATTTTACGCAAGGTGTCATTTCATTTGCGAGTCACATTAAAAGGCTATAATATCGCTTTACATTATGCTTATATTATACAACAATAAATCTCGAAACATTACAAATTGACTATCGGATCTTTTATTAATGACTAAAATTATAGTTATGTAAGTAGCTGCCATGGCATTTTCATGTTACCCGATTCCAACCTAGATGTAGAAACCCTAATACATGTACATATGGTTAAATGTTTTCAACTGGAAAATACCAGAGATAAAATTCATAAAAAGACTTGCTTTGAAATGATATTTTATATATTTCTGTTTTCAGGTTGTTCGGAGGAGCAATATTGATCAGTGGATCGTGTTTTGTGGTGCTAGCATTTATCATGAAGTATAGTCCAATTATAGTTTTTGTGATCAGATTTATACAAGGACTTGCAGAGGTATTTTTTGTTTAATATATACTAGTATGCAGGGTTATTTTTCGCCTTGTTTCATTTTCGCCCTTTCAACCTAGCAAACATTAAAGCTCCATTTTAAATTCGCCCTGTTACAATTCTGTTTAAGAAATAACACCTACTTTGTTCTTTATATGCGCTTTTTTTTCAAATATATACATGTATTATAAAAAAGGTGTATACAGATTTAGTTGTCTATGCCTATGGGAAGATATACCGTATAAGTGGAAATTTTAGCGAGACGCAAATTTAGCGATTTGTCCTTAAAAACTTTAAAGTATTTTAGCGATTTTTAAATGTATATAAAGAAGCTATTACAAATAAAATGCAGCTAATTTTTATACAATTTTAGATGTGTATGCCTTAAATCCTCGCTAAAAATATACTTAATGTTTAATACACTCATGATGTTCACTGCATTGTACATATATTTCAAGGGTGTAAGTCAGCCTGCCATGAGTTCCGTGGTTTCCGCTTGGGCCCCAAAGTCAGAACGAACTAGGATAGTAGGAATCTCATTCTCAGGTCAGTTACTCGTGAGGAAAAAAAAATTATAAAGTGACAAAATAACACTTTCTTTTAAAAAAAAATCAAAAGATAAAAAAAAAATTTCGTGTACAATTACTATTCATTTTAAAATAAAATGAAGTGAAAATAAGGTTTAAGAATTATTTGAAGAATTGAACATTTAATTTCGATTTAGTGTTCAGAAAATTCATATTTAGAAAAGATAATTCTTTTCTTTTTTTTTAAATAGGAATTTACCTAAGTACCTCACTGGCCTCTGTCATTGCTGGGGCCACCACTTGTTACGTCAGCTGGCATGCAGGGCTTTTCATCTACGGTAAAATAGTTGAAAAATTATGAACATCAGTTGCAACAACTTGTAATGTGATGCACACTGAACGTTACATTACTTAATGTTATGCCAAATTGTCACCATTAAATATGTTGCTTTATTTCAGGTTTATTTGTTCATCTGAAAAAAGTGTTGAAGGTACTAAGGGTCATCTTACTGACCAGTGTCATTATGTATATAATCTTTAGTCTGTGTTAGTCAACTATATATACAAACATGGGACAATACAGGGTTATTTTCCATTTTATTTTCCTTACATTGCAGTAACTCCTTATATTTTTAAAAGTATTTATTGTATAATCAAAATGTAAAATTAAAATATATTTAAACCCAAAATGCTACCTAATAGTTATGAAATATCAAGACATTAATTGTTAATTTCCATAGTCCCAGCCGTGAGAAATTGACAAGCATAATATGTACTTGATTTTCAATCGGCGAAAAAAATATTTAATTTGAATTATTAAAAAAAAATTCCTTTAAGAGTAAGATAAACCTTCAAAAAGTGTAAAATAATGTTTATCAATTGCCTCATTCCGACTTGCAGATTCTAGAATGATCAAACAAGATGGAAAGTTCCGTCAATTTCAATTCTTTTCCAGTATCATGGAATTGAGATCCAATGATTTAATATATTTCTAGGAGGTTCGGGTATTCTTTGGTCTCTTGTTTGGTTTTGTACGGTATACGATAGTCCCATGATGCATCCAACATTAAGCGAAAAAGAGAGGCGTATCTTCACGGAAGAGGGTTCTAATGTGACCATAGCTTCAGCCTATGTGGTAATATTCTTTTTTTTTTAGAAACCAAATGTATTAAATTTTTAGTTTGCAAGTCGATTTAAAACTAAAATCTCTGTTTTCGCTTATTTGCAGGCTAAAAACATACCTTGGAGAAAAATTTTGACGTCAGTACCGGTTTGGGCTTTATTGCTTGCCAATTTTACCCGATCTTGGGTGTTTGCCATGATCATTACCGAGATACCCCAGTATTACGCCGATGCCTATGCCCTAAATGTCGCAACGGTATTTTTGACATATCAAAAACTTTTAAAATGTTTATAAAATGTTTAAAATCATAAAAAACATGTAGCATTGCATTTTTGTTGACTATTAAGACAAAGTAATTTTGGAAATACTGATGGAATTAACTCGTTATTTTTCATCTTTCCCAGATCGGATTTTTGACATCATTCCCATCCATTTTGATGACATTTTCTGTGGTTTTGGGAGGAATCATTACTGATAAAATGATTAAAGAAAAGAAAGTGTCAACTACTCTTGGTCGAAAAATATCCATGGTCATAGGTAATCTTTTTAAATTCATAGTCACCAAAATAAATTTTACACTGATTTTTTTTTAAAATGTGCATTAAATAAATTACAACCAGTCGACTGGGGATGCTCACTCCTCCATGGCACCGGATCCAAACATCCGATGTTTTGGAGGTTCGTGTTTGCTCTGTTCCAGTTTTGTATTGTTGAGTGGAGTTTTGGGGTTAAATTCTGTTCTTTATCTGCATTTATTTCATTTTTTTTTATCTTGCTTTTGTCTTAAGGTTTTGGATTAGAGGCAGTGTGTGTTTTAGCCTTGGGTTTCGTCAAAGATTACCGTACTGCCTCAGCTGTAATCATCCTTGCTGAGGGACTCGCGGGATTCTCCACTGCAGGTAAATTCAATGTGATCAGAGTACAGTAATAGTTCAAACTTATTTAATCCTATGTTGTCATCAGTGCAGAGTAAAACACTTTATTTAATCCTGTGAGTTGATTTAATGTGAATATGACAATAATAATGAAGAATTGTCTGTAGGGTTTAAGGTGAACACAGTAGACTTGGCTCCACAGTACGCCAGTGTGCTGACAGGAATCGTAAGGTCAGGGGTACTAGGGGCCACCGTCAGTACAGCGATAGCCGGAATCCTCAGACACAAGGTAAAACAAATACAGCAAATAAGGAAACTGAATAACATAAAAGTGATGTTAACCAAAGTCCAATCTGTATATATTGTGTACATCAGTGCAGGGTCTGGTAGGTTTCCTGTAAATCCGGTTCCAACTGGTAAGGATGAATTAATATTTGCACATAAACTGCACAAAAGATCTTATGAGTTCAGAGTTTGAATTTACTTATTTTATGCTATTCCATTAAAAATATTGTCTCTTTATCCATAATGATTGATGAAAAAATTATATTTTGTCTTGAAAGGTTAATTCAAGCATTTAATATACCTTGGTAATCATTTTAATGAGATGTTTTTCATTTAGGATGTTCAATCTTGGCAGAAGATTTTCTTTATAACTGGATCGTTGCATTTGTTTTCTGTGATATTTTATTCCATTTTTGGATCTGGACAACAACAGGAATGGGCTCAGACAGAATATACTACAATAGTGACTCCAAAAGAGGAATCAAAAATGACATACGGTTCTACACTCGCAACTCAGGAGAAAAATAGTTCTGATCTTACAGGAATCGTTTATAATTTTAAAGAAGACACACATAATGACAACACATCAAAAGATACCAATAGTAAACTAGAAGTACAACATCTTATCAAGCCATAAAAGTTTAGGAGCACATGTCAGCATAGATCAAACTGTTTCTATCTGAATCATGTGAATAAAATACATAAATATGTTTGTATAATGTCCTGCATATGATATGGAGGTATTAAGAATGTACAGTGAAATCATTTTACATGTAATTTGTGGGGGACAATGTTTATGGGAAAGCAAAATTTTATTATCCGCGGGAATGTTCTTGTGTGGGTAACTTGTGTATACACAAAAATTTAAAGACAAAAATGTTGACGAAATAATTGTATGTTATTTCGTGGGTAAGGATGAACCACGAACTTGAAGAACATTGGTCCCCCACTAAAAATGATATACCATAATATAAGGTCGCTTCTTATAACTGTACTACTTGACAAAGAAGAAAAAGAAATACATATGGAAATCTAGCAGAGCTGATGTTCTTTTTGGCCCAACAGCGCGGGAAAATATCATATATATAACTTTACCTCATATTGTTAATTCCGTATTGTTTATTCCATATATCCAAATGAATCTGAATTAAAGACACCACAGAATCTGTAATATCTGTTTCATATCTGAATGTTTTCATTGTAGACTTAAGGGCTTACTAACAACAAGCATTTTATTATTATGACAAAAGATATGATTTCAACTTTTCCATTGAAAACCTTTCTTTTTTATGTAATAATATTTACATTCCCATTGTCTTTGTCTTAGATAAATCTACAAATATTAAGGTTATAGCTTTATATTTACATGCACTGAATATTTACTCCTTTATTTCTTAAGAAAACCCATTGCTTTAATCACTGCATGAACTACAATCGGCATGTTGCCTGTACAGTTTTCTTGATCAGTGGCTGTTCCATCAGCGAAACGTATAAAGACGTTCGCGTCATTAATACAATAATTAATCTTTTTAATCCTACTTTAAATGATTATTTAAACAGATATATATATATATATATATATATATATATATATATATATATATATATATATATATATATATATATATATATATATATATACAATAAAATGTCTTTCTTTGTTTGTTATTACTGGAATTAACGGTCGCAGCTATTGCAGAAAAAAAATTTACATAATATTTTTTTCTCCAACAGCTGCTTCCGTTAATTCCAGTAATAACAAACAAAGAAAGCATTTTATTGTTTAAATAACCCTATAAAGCGATTTATAAGCAAAAATAATTTAACCCATTGCTGGATTGTATTTTGGCTGACTTGATCCATACCAATAGTAAGGTCTTTGTTTTTATAGTGTATTTAACTACTGTAAGTTCCTTTGTCAGTGTGTGTCTGGTCAAAATGGGATCCTTCCTCCCAACCAGGTAGCTGATATCATATCTGAAATTACCAGAAATCATTGTTTTATCCACTCTCAAAACATCCATATTGTTTATAGATTTTTGAGATTGTTACTATTCGTTATCTTTGCCTTTCACATTCTATATTAGATGCCATGGATAAGATGTGTAAATCTTTTGGCTATTCAAACTTCATGACATCGACAAAATATGTTTGATTACAAAGCCTGAATTCTGTTGAAGTATGATAAAGAATACTTTATGAAATATATGGAGATAATGAATTTTGTGCAATCCCAAAAATCCATTTTACAATACAATTTTACAAGTGCAAACACGGGCCTCTAAAACATCAGAGTGGGATCAGGTGCCATAGAGTAGCAAGTATCCCCTTCCGACTTGTCACACCTGTCATGATCAGGAAATACTGGAAAAATCCGTCGACAATTCATTGGGTAAATGATGGTCTAAAGTAGTATGAAAAACGTTGGTCAGCAATAGATTCAATGACATATTGTATTTGCTGATATGGTCATAGTGTAGACCATAAAAATTACGAATGCCTAAACGAGAGTGTCGATATTCTTGTTTTATCAACTTGTTGGTTAATAATTTACCCCGTTTTAAATATTGTTCATACACAGAGCATGATTTTGTGTATCGAATCAACTGAGAAAATTTATATAAACCCCGAATACAGGTGGAGAAAGGTACAATCATGTATATTGCTGAATAAGTAAGGGAAGCAGGTGATATAGTTATATTGCTAAAAAGTAATGGACGTTTTGCCATTTATGTTTCTATAAATAAGATATCCAAATATGAAACAGATGTGTCAGATTCTGTGTTATTTTTTACATCAAGCTCATCAGGGTATATCGAATCGACATAAGAATGGTATTAAACATTGTTCATTCATAATACGTCATCGATATGTCTAAATGTCGAGTTGAATTCAACAGAAAATGTTTTCTTCTTAAAAATACAATTTAGGAGGAATATAAAAGATGTGATTCATTTACACGATTAAGTGATGATGTAGGGAACTATCTCCTGTCTTCCATGTAGAAATATCATATTGTGTGTAATATCAAATTTCACTGAGCAGATGTGAGGGAAAGGTCACGCTTTTGTTTTAAAACGATATAAATTCGCCTTTTGTTTTCGTTTCTTAATATATATTCCCCACAAAAATTTAAATAAAATGCAGGCATATGCTTGAAAAGTAGCACAGAAGAACTATTTGTATAACTTAAACTAGTTATAGCATTAAAGAGGTCAGTTTTGTATTGATCTTAAACTCGCTATTTTTATTCTTTCATTTTGAACCTCAATACAACAAAACATTTGGATGGTGGGCAGTTGCATTGTCCACATAAGACTGTCAATATATTGTACCTTAATTTTCAAGTGACAGGAAATGTTGTTGGCTTTCGCTGAAAGTCAAGACTTAGAGAAATAATTGGTCATGTTAACTGTTACATAATAATTACCCGTTCGAGAAACCTGGATCTACAGTTTTCAAAAAGTTATACGTGCAAATGTTGGTCACAAGAATTTAAGTAATTTAACAATTAAATTTATCCGTGCTTCATTTATTATGAATTAATGTTAAAATAAATGATATTAATAAAAAAAATCACAAATGTCTAATAAACATTTCAATATCCCAGATAGCAGGATGTTATTGGACCTTTGTATGGCCAACAATGCTCCTTATGTTGGGCCACCGTGTGCATTTAACGTTGGTCCAACGGCAATTTGCTCATCGGCCCTAAATTAGACCAACTTATTGGCTTAATGTTGGGCCAATGTAACAGACAATATGGGCCATTGTTGGGCCAACGTCTTCTTTCAATATTGGGCAAACGTCATTTTTGTACAATTGGGCCATTGTAAGCAATTAACGTTGGACCAACGGCTGTAAGCAATTAACGTTGGACCAACGGCAATTTGCTCAATGGCCCTTAATCAGGCCAACTTGTTGGATTATTGTTGGACTAATGTAACAGATATTACTGAGCCATTGTTGGGCCACTTATTCTTTTAATATTATGCAAACATCATTTTAGGGACAACATTGGCATGAATCAGGACAACTCATTTGCTCTTCACTGGTTGGCCATTGCATTATATGCTAGAATAATACATATTCACCAAATCTCGTAGGATTACCATCAACAAGTAAAGCATTGTAAATATAACATGCCAAAAATACCTTATACCTAGGAGAAAGAAACAAAAAATAAAATTACAGTAAATTGTAGCATATTTTATTGCTCAATCCATGAAGAAAACATTTATAAAGAACAAAATGTTGATGCTAACGTGTAGCGATACATGTACGATTACATGTATACCCCCTCTCTTAGTAAATTGAAGGTATCAATGAACACGTCTAAGAAAAACAAAGCCCTCCTGTGCTAAAAATAATACTAAAATGGCTTACTTCAACAAAATAATGTTTCTGGCATCTGCAACTTGTTTGTTACCGACAAACAGACGCTTAATTAAAAGGGTAGAATTATAGGTATGTCACAGTATATAACAGAAAAAAGTTAGGCCCTGCCACTTTCCATCTGATCCCTCTCCTGAGTTTCCTCCTCTCTCCCGAGTCTCCTCCTCCCTTCTTTAAGGTCTTCCGTTTCCAACGGAAGACCTTCTACTGATTCTGATGATTAAGATTATTCTTATTATTAGGGTCTTTCGTCTCCAACGGAAGACCCTTCTATTATTCTATTGTTTCTTTTTCACTTTTATTATCATTATTAAGGTCTTCCATTTCCAACGGAAGACCTTATTGTTTTCGTTCGGTTTCTTTTTCCCTATTATTATTCTTTTTTTTCTTACCGATTTTGTGCACGCGATTGCTCGAAAACGCCTCGATGGATTTTTATGAAACTTTCAGGACTTATGTAACATTACTTGAACTCGATTCATTTTTTTTCGTTTTGATGACGTCACTTCCGGTCCGGAAATATTGTCGATTTTATGATTTATGAAGGGTCAGGTTGTCTGCGAACGTTCTAAAAAATGGCTATAGATAGAAACGTGAAAATTTCAGGTCTGATAGTCCAAAGTCTATAGATGTGCAAAATGCATTTCATTTTTGTCGGAAGTACCGCACGTCGGCGCTCGCTATGGACCGAAAATTGTCAAATCGCGAATTTCAAAATTTTTAACACATTTTCTACGATATCTTTTTACATGGAAATATTTTGATAAAACATATAGAACAAAAGAAGTGTAAAATTCCAAGATCTTTCAAATTATAGCGAGCGCCGCTCGCGTAGCGAGCTCAATAGACTAACGTGTACGAGCAGAGGAAATTCAGGTTGAAATCTGCACATTGTTCCAAGAAATTTTTATGAGTCCACATGAAAAAAGTCCAAACTCCCAATAATCCTTTGCGGTGCATAGCAACATGGTGGCTTAAACATAGCAACAACTTACTTGAAAAAAAAATTAATGCAATCTCCATACCATAAAAATATCGTTTGCGTCCTAAGTCAACAGAACTTTTTATCTGACGTCATACTTTCGTCATTTAACGGTTCGGGTATTTCCGATTTTGTCGGAAACTTCCAAGAAGTTCGGAATCTCGATCCCGATGCTTGGGAAGTGAATTCTTTTTATTGTTTTTTTTTTCTTGAATGATAGGCAGTGCATCTGTAAGTTTATGATAGTACGTAACTGCGCTCGCCCCAACGGTCACACCGTAAAACATATTATCTCGAAAAAAGGGCTGGCCCCTAAAATTAAGGGACTGGAGGGGCCGAAATTTTTTCTTTATATCTCAAAAAGTATTAAGAATTTGTAATACGTCAAAGAAGCAAAGTTGTTCAAAATGTCAAGCTGAATCTATTAGAGTCGTCAAAATACGTCCGGCGTCGTCACTTCCGGCCAATCCGGAAGTAGTCGGAAAATGAGTATTTTTGCCGTTCTTGACAGGTTTTTGGGTAAGATATGTCTCTGGGAGCATAAAAATGAAGTTTCCGTCCGTCGTCGTCACTTCTGGTCAAACCGGAAGTAGCAAAAAATAGCTTATTTTTGCATTAATTAACATAGCTTTAGAGGAGTCAACCCATTTTTAGGTGTTATTTCTCATTTTTGTTCAAAATGAAAGCTAATTCCGGTACAACAGGACGAAAGACCTACTCGTTGCTTTGCAAAGAGCTTTGCTCTAGTTAGGGTCTTCCGTCTCCAACGGAAGACCCTTCTATTATTGTATTGTT